GTGGAGCGATTAAAAATAAACATGGCAGCTGTAGCGGGGAGTCAGATACTTTTAAAGATATCAAATAGAGTATTGCTTTAAATTGGCTGAAATTAAATCCTTCTTGCAGGAAAGTTTAAACACGTGTTTTATCTTAGCTTACGTTCATCCTCACAGTGAACGAACCGCTGCTCGATGCTACGCCCCTCCCTCCTCTGCCTTTCTCAAGTCGTTCAGAAGTCGTTCGTTTCATTAACAGTCTGACTGATACATATTGTTCATTCGCTGTGAGCAGATCATGAGACTCCGCCCGCTGGCTTGCTCGCTGGCTGGCTGTATGTTGTTCGCCAAAGAGTCAACATGGCAGTTCCTTCCTGACTGGCACACTACGCTTGCAGCTGAGCTCAACTGAACTGAGAAAGGAACGAATCAGGTCTTGATTCCATTCGCGTCGTTCACTCAGCAGTTCTGTTCTTTTGACCGAATCGTTCATAAACGACACAACACTAATCTCCATAGAGAAAGTTTTCAGTGACCTGACGCTCTGGGAACATATGGTCCGAATGCAAATCTTCATAAACATCCAGACACATGTGACCCTGAGCTGCAAGATGTCCCACTTTCTAAGCTAATGTGGCTGCAATGCTTGGAGCGAGATTGGAGTCCTCCACATTGTGTTCATAATCATACATCCTAAATAATCTGCATCATGTAGATACTATGAGTAACCCCTTTGACATAAACATGGTCTCTGGATTCAGTTGTTATTTATAAGATATCGATTAGTCGTGCTTTGAGGACCAAGGAAGCGCTTCCTGATTAAAAACACGCTTACGCTCGACGTTTCTCTGTCTCTGCTGCATCTGGTTCTCTCCTCTGTCATGCATGAGAGCGAAGCAACAATGGCAATTTTATCCTCTATAATATGCATTTGCTGTTGCCTGGTATCCGCCTCCATAACAACAAAGTCATGGCACTTATTCATGGTAGGAAATGTGAGGAAAACACAGAGAGAGAGAGAGAGAGAGAGAGGGAGGGAGAGAAATAGCCATCAGCGCTCCAAGATAAATGAGCTTTTATCCGGTGATGCTGTTTGAGCCGCGGCGTTTCTCTGAAGTCAGAACTGCATTATTAAGTCAAATTAAGCCCTGTTGTACACGCTCGAGATGAGTGCTGACCCTGTCTTGATAGAGAAGGCTGTGTCGTTGTGCTGCATTAGGAGGCCCAATTGATCCTGTCTGCAGTTACATAAGGCCATCGTCGGACTAATTCACCCACGCCATTAACACCCAGATTTGAATCTCTCTTTGTGTCTCACTTAACACTTCCCAAACGCTTACGCTAAAGTTTCTTGCTTCGCGAATTTTGTCTTTGGACGCTGCCTGGCGTGTTCCTTTGTCCTTATTTTTGTCTGTCAGGCCTCTTATCTAGCCACCCATAGCTTCTCTTTTTTCCCACCACACTCTCCCTTATCCTCCTTTTCTATTTTTGTCTTTCATGGACTTAGTGAAGAAGGCTGCGGGAGAGACTGAAAGGGAATTAGAGTCCTTGGTGTCATTGAAGCCTCAGAGACTGACAGTGAAAAGCCAATAATGAGCCCTCCATCCTTATTTTCCTCACACACTGACCAGACTCCTTTCTCGCCAGCAGGCTCGGACTTTTTTGTGGTCTAAGGACCGTTTTTTCTCAGAACTAGAGAGAGACTCTCTTACACTTTTACCCAGACTCACACACATCCATTTGAACTAAATGAATCTAATTAGGTAAACATTTGGGATGATGGATTTTTGGGCCCTCTTCTAGCAGCAATTACTGAGTTTCTGGGCGATCGATTTGTCTCAGAGTAGAGCTACAGTAGATTGTGTTAAACCTCGCCAGGAGGCAAACGAGAGCTTGAAATACACTGTATATCCGCTGGTAATTATTGTCAAGAACGTGCACAGCAAATCATCTGCAAAGTCAATCCCGACCCACGCACCATCGATCGTTTGCAGCGTTCAAAACACATCAACAACTTGTATGGAGTATTATTCCATCACCGGGAACGTTTGTGAACCTTTTACAGCTCATGTCAGGTGATATTTGCTGCGTTAAGCAGGAAATGTATTGATCATGTTTCATCTGCAACACCGCAGAATCAATAGTATACTATAACTCAAACATGCAAAAGCTATTTTTCTACAAACATCAGGATAGAGAGCTTCTAATCTGTTATTGAGGGTGATGTCATGTTGGTGTCTTTGAGCAGAGAAAAGTGTCACGACTAAAGGCTCATTTATGCTCATCATACGTATGAAAATGTACATTTTTATATGTCAATTTCAAACAATGGTTCTGTCACTGCTCACATACTTCCATGTGTTCCTTACGTTGGCATGGATATTAACCATTACATCCACCAGGGGGCAGACCGGAGTCAAAAGTTTCTGACGGAGAATTCTTTTCTCTAGTAGGACAGATGAGAAAATTGATGACGATCCTAAAAAAGCCCCGCCGTTGTCTTCTTCGTTTCTCTCTAGAGATGCAGCAACACTGCCCCCACGGTTTCCAGTGGTACTGCTCCGTCTGGCCTGTATCTGTAAATTTAAGGATACGTGCAGAAATACGGACGAAAAGAACGTGAAGCACGAACAGGGAGCATATCGTATCCATATGTAATGTTGAGCATAAATGAGCCTTAAAGCCCACAGGAGCACATTCCATCAGTGTTGCGTCTCACTTGTTACGCAATAAATAGGTTCCCACTCTTATCAATGAAGCATCGAACACAGGAAGTGTCCATCGCAGCTCCATCTCAGAAGCGCGTCAAGTTTGGTTCTGCTAAAGATACGTGTTAAGTCCAATTTTCGCTGCTCTACGCTTCCAACACACATCAACCTCCACAGAGGAGATCGTCCTAGACAGGATGTAAAGCACGGAAACCGCGCATGTCATCTGATAAATTAGAGTGACCATACGTCCTCTTTTACCCAGACATGTCCTCTTTTTTCGGGGCTGTCCAGCTTTGTCCAGTGAAGTTTATAAAATCCTTCAAATGTCTGCGGTTTTGTACGTAAGTTTCGATTTTGTGTCACATGGACTTACTGAGTTAGAAGCGCATAAAAGACACTCGATCCGATCCAAAAAACTCTCAAAATTAACTTTGTGCGACTCTGTGACTCTGTGACTCCGCCCCCACGTAGTCGTGTCCTCTTTTTGGGAAGTCAGAATATGGTCACCTGAGGTAAATTTCAAATAAAACACCGTAAGCAGACTCCAGACTGTGTATCAGTTCGTGTAGAAGAGAAATACTTCCTGGTTATGAATTTATCAGTAACACAGAAACTCAAACCAAACAGCAGTAAAGACGTCGTATCCTTGGTCGTTCAGCCTTGTTCATGTTGCACGTCGTCTTTAAATCTCATTAAAAACACGAAAAGGTTCCTGTTTATATCAAACTGTCCCCAACACTGTTTCAGAGTCCTCTCTGAGTGACTTCCTCCTGGAGGTCAAAATAAGTCCATGGGTTTTTGTTCATATTTGAGGTCACTACAGACACTCTCGCAGTCTTGTGACAGATTACCGCTCTGCACTTGAGAACGCAGCATCCATCCAACACGGGCTGTCATTGTGAAGACTGCGGCGGCCTCACCGCGAGACTAACTGAAGTCACACTTCAGGGGCTAGATCACATTTATGACAACGCTTCGTGTACCTCGTTACCGGTTTAATGTACCTCGGCGTTCTATCCCACACACCACTAAGCTCCCGATGGCCGACCTGAGCCGTGTTTGCCTGAAGGTCGGACAAAGTGAACATAAACAGTTACTCAGCTGAGACATTACAGCCGCGTTTTCAGACTCGGCCCGCGTTTGTTTCAGGAGGTTAAGAGTGGTCGTACAGGTGGCGTTAACATGTTGCACCATAAAGAGAGCCTCGCGTGCGCTTTTCACGGGACGTTAACTTCTACTGCATGTGCTGATTATCAGTTTCATGTCTTTGAGATGTAATAAAGCAGCAGTTTTCTCAGACAAGAAGGAAGCGACATGAAATAATGAAGCCTGTGCAGAATACTGGAAGTAGAAAACAGAGCAGCTGGGAGCAACGACTGCAAAAACACTCGATCTATTACCAAATATGCACATCCTGCAAGTTTGCAAAGGAAAAATAAATTGAGTTTGGAATTTTAGACAAATATCAGCCAAAACAATCCAGAGTATTGAGAGTAAAGTAAGGGCGTGCTGGGTCCAGACGGGCTCATCCAGACTAATACACCAGTCACACCATCTCAGTGCAGCTGAAACTGGGTCCAAAATCATAACCGCAGCGCGTCTGGCAATCGCGCCCTCAGGCTTTGTCCTCGCGCCAAACCAGAAATGAACTCATCCTGACAAAAAGTGAACAAGATAAAACAGTAAGAACTCATTTAAAGCCGCGCATTTCCAGCAAGCCGAGTATTATTTTTACCCTCGTCTGTGGGAGCGACGCTGCAGTCTGCGAGAAAAGCCGTCAATACGCCGTCTCACTGAGGATTAGCCGTTTTAATTACTTCCACCTCTCTGCTATCACCATCTGCTTTGAGTCTGGATGGGCCTCCTCGAGCAACACGCTATTCAAATCAATTGCACCAATCTGCACAACGTTAGCATGATAAGCCATGCGGAGGCATTTTCTGGCCTTTGTAATCCAGTTTGTGTCAAACAGATAAGGTTTATTGCGTCCTGAGGTACTCACGCCTTGTTTGGCAACCTTCCCAATAACTTATTCAGAGGGGTGTTGTTAGAGACGGGCCCGGCGAAGGAGGAACAAAAGGTGATAAAAGATTGCTGCTAATGCTCTGCAGATCTAATGAGACAAATCTAAATAGCAGCTTATGTCATTATTCCCTCATCTTCTGCAGTGATACTCGTCCTGATGTGTCTCTGTGAGCGGATCCCTGCTTTAGCCACTGTTGCACAACACTACAGTTTTTTTTTCCTATGTTGCACTCACCTGAGGCCCCCTATTGTGGGACCCCCCATCAACCTGCACTTACAGGCTTAAATATGGTGATCCTAGCACATGTGTATGGTGGCCCTGAGGTGCAAAACACAACAGCAAATCAGAAAACACAACACAAAAAGAGAAAACACCTACCTATGTTTTCCAATTTTGGTTAATGTCATTGTGTTTTCTCTTTTTTGCGTTGCGTTTTCTATTTTGTTTTTGCTTTTTTTTTCTATTTGCCATTGTGTTTTGCACCTCAGGGCCACCGTACAAAACCATAGACTGTATATAGAAAGGACATTCACAACAATCACAACAGGTTATTTTTCCTGTTTGTGGTTGATTTTCTGCTAATTGGGATATAATTCAGTGACCGTTGAATTTCTACTGTATTTGAAAAAGCAACGTGATTTTATAGTTTCAGTTTTTGCAGTTTTCCTGGTGTTTAATTAAGTGAACTATGTTCTATGTTCCTTCAGACAGAGTTAGCAGCTGAAAGTCCTGATGAGAGTATCCGTACATCATTTTCAGATTAAAAAAAAGCCTCCTGTTTCTCACTCTGATGTCTTAAAATATCTTGATGTCAGCCTCCATCTAAAACTCTTCGTTTTAGCTCCTGTCTCTTTAAGGTTTTTGACATTTGGGACTTTAAGATGCGGCTTTGCAGGCTTGGCTGCGGTGGGGTGGCAGGAATATTCTTAGTCGTGCTTCCTGGGATGTCTCTCTTTGTCTGAGTGGAGAGACATTTTTAGGAGTGAATGAAACAAGGCAGCCTCACAGAAGAAGATGAGAAGAAGCAGAAAGAGGAACTCTGTCTGTGTGAAGGCACAGAAGCGAGCAGCTCCGGTTCAGTCAGGGAGCTGCCAGGCTCAGGTAGAGATAAGCGGTGTGGACCAGGCGTTAAATCCATTTTCTGATCCTGAACAGTTTAGGAGAGGATCTAAAAAAGATACCGGCGCTGACAGGAAGAGGCATCTGCAGAAGAATGACTCTGTCTCATGAGTCCCAGTGAAAGGAAAGCACATATGCATTAACTTTATTACACTTAAATACTTCGATAACCCTTACATATACAGACATGCCATATAAAATTTAGAGCCAAGCATCTGCAGCGCTTCACAAATCTCCCGCTCTGACACTCTAATTATTCCCCGCGGTGCAAAATCATCTGATGCAGAATTGTGCAGCTTCAGCTCCGTCTGCAGACGCTCGGCTCAGGCAGCTGCTGTTGTGACAGGTGGACCGGTTTACTTTCATGAGCTGCATGAGCTACAAAGACCCAACCGCTTCTTAGGCCCACAATGCACTTGGGCTCAGCGTGAACTTTTGTCGAAACTGTGTCAAAACACGAGAGAAACGTTAAAAAGCGGATTAAGAGTTGAAATACTCCAACTTTATTTGTTAGTTTTAATCCCAAGACTGGATTTGGCCATAAGGGTTTGAGTCCCGCTGCTTTTAATGATCTGTCAGCTTATTTTCGTGTGCTGTTATTTTAAGTGTCTCGCCTCCTAACAACCTTGAACCACAAATACTTTGATGTGGTTTATTCTCATTAACTCCAGAGCTTTTTAAAGAGGGTGAAAATGTGAAGAAAATGAGTTCAATCTTTCTTTGAACGCAGAAACTTCGGCTCCAAAGTCTAAAATAAAAATGACAAGAAATTCTTCGTTTATTTTGACTTTTCATCTTAATGATAAAACCTAAAGTATCTTTCCAACGTTGCCAGTTTAACACTTCAGGTGGGAAAAATTCTCATCTATAAAAATCTCACTTGAAGATTTATGAACTTCACCGTCACCTGCTTTTTTTTTTTGCTCTAACTGCAGAGTCAGAGTCTTAATTAACAGATAAATCAAATATATAGTTTAATTGCCTGTTTGCAGTAATGGTACAGTGATTTTATGGCTGCAAAATGGCAGAGTGATCCTAAACATGACGTTAGAGGAAAACAACCGTATGAGCATTTAGATAATTAGGATACATCTGTGTTTTATTCAGGGCTGTCAGAGTTAAGTGAAGTGCATTTAAGGTCTGAAATTTACACGTTTTTTGGATACAGTGATTTTTTTGTCCCTTTCTGCACACTGTAGTTCCTCAATGGTGCGTTATATCCACAAAGAAATTCGGGACGGCTCAGAGGAAAAGGGAAAAGAAGTAAATGCATCAAATTCTCCTGAAAGTAGTTTAAGTCTGAGCTAGGGCTGGACGATTTGGCCAAAAAGATGATCACGATATACTTTGTCATATTGTCCGATCTCGATTATTATCCCGATTTTTATTAAAACGGCCATTTTTAAAGCATCTGTACCTAAAAATAAAAAATAGATAGATAAATACTAAATAAGACGTTAAATAACTTTTCTTCTTTGGAGGATGACTCAAAGTCATGGCTGACATCTATTTTACTGACCTCAGCTCCACGTTCAGTTACTCTGTTTATTTGTCCAGCAACTTACAGAAGTGAGCAGGAAAAGCTCGACTCTGCTTGGCTGTTGTGACGCACATTTCCGCCATGTTTGATCGAGTAAATAAGCTCACAGCTGATCACCGTGATTGAACTGAAATTTATCACGATCATTGATCACGATCATATAATCGCACGGTCCTAGTCTGAACTCCAACCTGAGAGCGAAGCATGCCGGTGCAGCTAACCAGACTGATGCTCGTTGGTTAGACTTCCTGTATTTAGTTTAGATGGACTTAATGATATTGTTGGGTTGTTCGCAAATGATTTGTTCAAAACAATGAATCTTTGATTTGAACAACTGGACTGAATCATTTCCTCAAGTGATTCGTTCATTTCTCAGTTCAGTTGAGCTGTCGCACGCACCGACGCCTGAATCACTCAGTGAACTACACACCCGTTACTTTAACAGATTTAGTTCCAAATAAACAAACTTAAAATGTTAGGCTGGCACGAATGAGAGGAGAGTGAGTCTCACCAGCTGTAGCAAACTCTTGGCATGAGCGACTGAGTTGAGAGTGTTGTGTTCAAGTGAACCTCGGAGAAAACTAACCTTTTTTTTTTTACTCTGATAAATTGCCACCACAACAACTAGCATACAGTAGGACACAGCATGTAACAAGTCGTGTGTAAAACCAGCAGTTTGAGAAATGTGTGTCTGATCCTATCATTGCGGAGGTTTGCGAGGGAACGGTTCATGGTCAGTGTGAATCCTTCATCAAATATACTGTGGGGTAAAGGTTCAGTGAACGAATCGATCACTGAGTGTAATTTACAGAGTAGACCTGATAAACAGCAAACCATAGAACAGTACACTTAAAACATCATGATTTATGAACGAATCTTTTGAATGAATCTTTTTAGTGAACTGATTCGAGTGATCCAGTACATCTTTAAAAAACTGCCGTGCCCATCACTTCTTAACAACTCTTAAAATGCAGAATTTTAAACATGCAATTAAAATTCATTAAAGTTAATTAAGTTTTGAAATTCTTCAATCAATTATGATTAGAAAAAAAATAATTTCAGTTTCTTTTTTCACTCTCAGAGTTATTTCTGTAACTCCACCTGGATCACAGCAGCTGCTTCTTCTGTATCCTGTCAACACATTTACATATTTTTCAGATGAGCTAAACTGCAAATGAATGTAAATGATCAATATTCATCATATGATATATTATACCTCATTATTGGATTTACATGTAGACGTGTGTGTGTGCGCGCGCGCGTGTGTGTGTGTGTGTGTGTGTGTGTCTTGAGGCGGAGGAGGAGGGCTTTCAGGAGCCTGTGAGGACATTCATCAAGCACTTCGTATCGACTCCGGAGCTCTAATGTAATTCTGGAGTAAAAAATGATGCACACTGTAATGCACCCTCAGTGCACCGCGTTTAAAACCGATTATTCACCAGCAACCCGTCGCCAGCTGGTTTCAGCCATTCCTCAGCTGGTTAACAAAGTTAAATCTAACGAACTGGAGTCTACGGGAGCAGAGGAGCGTGGAGTTTCTTGTTTATCTGCTCGGTGAAGATGGTCAGCGTGAACTTTTCATTTTCTCCTTAGAGGAGCGAAGAACGGAGAAATCACTGCTGCGCTCTCAGTGTTGTGGAGTCGAGCTCTGTAATTACACAGATGAAGTTAGCGACGGCTGTGAACGTCTCAGATACGAGACCTCGCCATTATCCATCCTTGTTTTTTAATTAGCGCTGCGCTCACTTCTTACTGCGACATTAAGGTTAATGTTGCAGAGAGGAGAGCCGGTGGAGACAAAGGCGCTCGCAGCCTCCGATTTCATAACTCACACAGAGATGTTCTGGTGTCACTTAATGTAGCATGAAACAGCTAAAGGTTGCATCCAAACAGCAATACATCAACTGATAGGCCTCTTTTATTGATCGAAGGCTGCTGCTCTGGAAACACTTGTCTGCTAAATGGTGTTTTGGTGCGATGCTTTTTGTGTCTCCACGCTGAACTGCCTCTTCAAAATCCTCAGAAATAACCGCTGACATGCTCATCCAAGACGCTTTTCAGGGATAAAAAAACTCTAACGTCTCAGACAAATGCCGTCTTCACATGTGATACAGGACGTCTGTTCAGCTCCGCTCACAATGAATGAACATTTGTGTTTGTACTAAGGCTAGGACTCGATTAAAGAAATTAATCTAATTAGGCTTTGTGATTAATTAATCGCGAGTGAATAGTGAACTGAATGAATACACAAACTTAGGCAAACAAAAACTTTAGTTTTATTTATTTTTCTCAAGGTGATACTTCACTGAGACCAACAGATCAGTGTTTTTTTATGCCATAAAGTGTAGCCATCTTCGCTCTGAATCCACTCATCTGGTCGAGTGTGGGTTGGTTGTGGGTCGCTGTACTCAGAGTTGGACTGACGTTAGTTTCCACGCTAGCTGCAGCATGTTTAGCATTCAGGTGATACAGGAGGCTTGACGTGCTGCGGTGATATGCAAATTCTTTTTTGCATGATTTGCACAAGACTATTTTTTTATCCGGGCTTCCATTCATCTTTTTTTTTTTAAACAAAGATGCCCATCCACGCCAGAGCCAATCAAAGCACATTCATCCGTGACTTTGTTCATTTTTCCATAGTGGGACTGGAATCACTGCTGCATTCACTCACATTGGGGTGCGCCGAAACGTCCCGTGGTGTAAAAATACAGTAGGTGTGATTAATAAACGTTAATATTTCTAACGAGATGATACTAAATACCTTGTATCTGCTCCCTTTCTTCCACTGTGAGATTATGATGATGTTTTATATCTGACTGCTTCAGCCAAATGCCTGCAGTCCTTAACTGTCTGTCACTGTGCGCTGAGATTCCTTACTGGTTGTAGTCGCCTAACACATCATTGCGAACTTTATGCCAAGTCTGTCTGTCCTTCTCTGAGTACTCACAGGTACATTCACTGGATGACTCTAATTTATAAGTTTCTTCTTGGCTTCGCTCCTTCTTATTTATGTGACCTTCTTTAAAAGACTGAAAGCCACGACTCCCTGCGCTCAAACCACACGATCCATTGGATTGTTCTGTTAATCAGAACTGAACTGGGCACAAAAGTGTTTTTTCAGTTTTGCTGCCACTTCAGCATGGAATTCTCTCCAGACTGACCTGAAATTGTTGGAATAAATTTCACTGGAAACATTTCGTTCAATCTTGACAATCAATGACAGACTCTGGGAGACCCTGGAACAGTGCCTCTGTTTTTAATTATGTTTATTTTCTTCTCCTTTATTATTTATTCTTGTGATCTGTGCTGCCGACCTCTTGGCCAGGTCACTCTTAAATAAATAAATAAAAAATTACTGTAATTAATTTATCGCAATGAACGCGTTAGTTCCAGCCCTCGTTTGTACATGTGTGTAGTCATCGTTTAAAGGTCTGTTGTGCCCTTTGAATATGGGTGTGCTGAACAGACATGCCGTTCTTCGTGCGCTCTGCAGGATCGTCAGCGCTGATGATTCAGGTGTGAAACATCTCACCCATGGTGCTCTCCAACATGGAGACACAGAAGGATGAAAGTAAACAAGTGCATGACAGAAGAAGGTATTTATCTGAGGTCGCCGTGGTTGTTGGGAATGCATTAGAGAAATATTCATTAATAATGACACTGAGGAAGACGCGTGGAAGCAGTGAAGATTTATAAGGTAAGGTTAGGTAAGGTAGACTTTCTTGATCCTGCATGAGGGAAACTACTTCACCACTAGGACAAGAAGACTCATACAGACAACAAACAGCATGGAGACATCAGAGAAACATAAACTCAACACCAGATACACGACAAACACAGTAAAGAACCAATGAAACATGATTTTAAAGTGGTACAATGAAAGATAAGGACATGATTAGATACAACAAAAGCCTGATAAAAATGAGTAAATACTAAAATAAATACATCTACCATCTATGCAGCAGTGCCAAGTCAGACCCTAACATATACAGTTAAAATGGAGAGGAGTGAAATTTCCACCTGCACCTCTCACCTGAGTGGATCGGTTACAGGTACACAGATTAGACCCACAGTGCTCGGACGCCAAACATCAAAATACGAAAGTTTTAAAGTTCATAGTCTGAGTTTTTATCAAAAATAAAGTTATTTTATCTTTTATTTTTATCATGAAAAAGGTAACTGACAAACATTTTTCTTCATATTTATAATTAAAGCTCCAGTGAGGAGTTTTAGCTGGTCTTAAAATAGACTGAGATTAAAACTGACCTAGAAGAGCAAGAAGACCATTGTCAACCGGAGGGATGACTTCTCTGTGGTTATTTTGGAGTTAGATGTCAAACTAAGTGATTACCTGCATGCTATCATTACAGTTAAATCATTTTAAGACTGTTAAAAAATGACGCTAATTCTACATAAACCAGCAAGGACAGCTTTGTCCATGAGAGTCACCAAAGTCGAGTTCATCCTCCACACTAAACAAGTTTCAACATTTCCCTTCAATGTCAGATATCTGTGGTTTTAGAGCGCTCTGCGTCGTTATAACTCACTCTACATGTGAACATAAGGCCGACAACAGAACAAATTAGCGTGCCAAACCGTCAGCGTGAAGCAGACCGTGCTGGATTACATCATCTTCTCTGCTCGCTCTCATGACTCGGGACGCTGCCCCCTTCCACACTCAGAGTTCAGCCTGCAGAGTCAAGAGCCAGGGGTCCCGGCCTTTTGCAGAGAAAAGCTCGCAGCGGCTCCCATCTGTCATCGGCTCAGCGGCCAAATAAGCCCGTTCTTTACTGGGAGGCAACAAGATGGATGGAGCCACTTCATCACGGCTGTATGGGGGCACGGAGGAAGCAGCGCACTGCATGCCTCTTTGACAGCCGGTCCTCCCCCACTCAGCCTCCCCACGGCTCCCATCAGGGCAGTGTAGAGAGCAGCAAAGTCATTACCAGATGTACCACTGTGGCTTTATTTCCACGCGCTCAATAATCATTTACACCCGTCATTAAAGAAAGCAAATTAACAGGAAGGTTTGTGATTAAAGGATTTGATTTATCTTTGTGGTTTTTGCTAACCGAATCTTTTCTCCAAAGCCGGGTCTCTTTGGGACAAATTTCAAGAGTGGAGGTTTACGGAGATAATTGGATGTCCCTGCTTTGAACCCATCCATTTACTAGTCTTGTGCGCAGACCACCTTCTGGTGGACGTCCAGCCTTATTACTTCAGAAGGAGCAGCTGCGCTTGCGGTGATATATATATTTTATTTTTTTTCTAAAACATTAAAATTCTTGCTGCGGCGATGGGCGCGTGTTTGGCGAACAGTTGGCAGTAGTTGAAGAAAAAGGTAAAGCTCCAATCAAAATGCAGGAAAGTATCAGTACCTGGATTCATTTTCAAAAGCAAACACAGTGAGTGTGATTGGATATTTGCAGGAAAGCTTACTGGCTTGGTAGTGGTTTCCATCTGCTTTGTGTGACGTATCTTCGGAGGTTATTGTGCAGATCGTTCACGGACGTGTGGACGGGTCAAATCTTTGCATAGCGGGTGTGTGGCTGTGACCTTAAACCAGAGAAATCCAGCTGTTACGCTGTTTTCTCCATGATTACATCAGCGCACTTTACTGAAATAAGGATAAGTGTGCATCCTTCTAATTAAAGCTACTGTAAGGAGTTTTTAAGGCGGTAACAAAACAGACTTTTATCAGCACTGATGCTTTTTAAAACCAAAAGAAGATTGGTGACATGATTGATTATTTCTATATAGTTATTTTTCATGTTTACAAAATCGTTAGTGGGGGGTAGGTGTCGGACAAGCTGTTAAACCTGATGCTACTGTACTGATGTTACGGATTTCACCTTTCTAAATAGAGCAAATAGAGAGAAAACACAGAACAAAATCTGCACAGGGAGAAGAGGTGCCCCTTTTGTCCACAGGGGGCGCCAAATTCAACACAAGCTGAAAGTTCCTCAGAGGAGCTTTAAATATATAAACTCAATTACCCCCAACCTCTCTCTAGGTTGTCCTCAGACGAGCCTTCCATCGTCGCTTCCAGTCATCCCGATTCTCCAAACATCTCTCCAGTTCGTTGGTACTCTGAGCTCCTGCGTCCTTCTTGAGTATGTCCACGTATGTTAGTGTAGGACGTCCTCTTGACCGATGACCATGTGTTGGTTCCCACAGCACCAATTTGCTGGCTGGCAGTTCCCGATGCCTTTGGCGGTGTCCTGCTCGTCTCATTCTCCTTACAGCAATCTTCTCGCTCACCCTTGGTATTCCCTCGTACAGTGTTCTGTTGGTCACATGTACGTTCTTGTTGATGTTAAGCACTGCACGCAACATCCTGGTGTAGCACCCATCGAGGGATTTCTCCAGGGTTGGCTTCAGGGTCCAGCATTCACTGCCATAGAGGAGAACGGACTCTACTGTCACGTAGAAGATGCTGAGTTTGATTTGGCGGGGGAGGTTGGAGTTCCATACACTGGTCATGCCGTTCAGGGCTCTCCTCGACTTCTTTCAGCACAGCGCCTCCTGCTGGAGTCAGAGGTTGATGTTCTGGTGGAACGTTGTGGGTCAGTTTTCTTGGTATTTAGCCTAATGCCAAACTTGGCGCACTCTAACTCTACCCTGTTCAGTAGTTCTTGTGCTTGTTCCACGTTGTCGGAGAGCAGACTTATGTCATCTGCATAGTCGAGGTCTGTGAGGACCACTGCAGGGTGTCGTCTCAACCTCCTTGGTGTTAGCGTGAATCCAAGTTGCTGCTCTCGCCCACTGATTGCCTTCCTGAGCACATAATCGAGGACTATGATGAAGAGGAAAAGGGCAAGTGTGTCCCCTTGGATAACCTCAGCCAGGATGTCAAACTCCTCGCTGTGGCCGTCCGGGGTCACCACCTCGTCATCACCTTGGCCCTTGTTCCAGCGTACATGGTCTCTATCACTCGGAGAAGGTTGAGAAGAAAAATGTTCATATTTTTGAGAATTTTTGAGTATTTTACCCTGAAACTGGACCATTCTCAGCCTCAGGAAAAACATTTCAAGGTTATTGTGTTTTTTTCAGTAATTGCTTCAGCAGACAGACGGTGATATCTTATTTACCTATCATAAACAGGAACTTGTCTAGACCTGTTTTGATCGAGCTGAGGCACTGACTCATACAGAGGTGACACGAGGTATACATGCATATGAACAGACAGATATTTATAAACCTGTTATTCTCTCGCCTCGGTCTCACCGTTCTCATGTCTATTAAACTGCTGAGAACATTTAATACGAATGGAAAAGTAGCTTTAAAAACAAACACTTTACTCATTCTTAAAGTTCTCAGAGGACAGGTACAGGTGTGGGAGCAGATCCTGTTCATCTGTCAAAAACTCATTTATTGGCAACAACCGTTAGACGGCGAAAAGTACCAAAAAAAGGGGCGTCGGTTTTCGTCTAGGGGCAGGGTCATGCACCCCATGTACAATTTTCAAACCTGTGGGTCCTTCTCCCGCCAAAAAATCTAAATATGACAGGATTTTTGAAAAGCACCTGGGGTGGCCATGTTGATTTTAAGAAGGGGCCAGTGCCACCCTGATTCCTTTTCTTGATACGCCCCTGTTTGTAACCACCCGAGTGTTTTATATCCAGAATAGTGAAAAAGTTAAAAATGTTTTTCGCATTTTTTCAGAGCCAACATGTTTACAGTCGCTTCCCATGACCATAGGGGGCGCCAACATTCGACTAAAACCAACAGTTCCTTATAGGAGCTTTAAAGTTTTGTCTTACGCTGCAGGTTAGAGAAGGATGTTTGCTCGGTCAATCTACCATTGCATGTGAACTCATGGTAAATAGAGAGTAAATCTGGCATCAGGCCCTCATATTATACTCAGTATGTATTTCTCTCTCTGGCAGTGAAACACACTGATGTCTATTTGGTGCCAAATCTTGTCACACGGCTGCTATTTCAACTTTGACCTCTCCGCCCCACATCTCAGCTCAGCCCATCCCTGACTCTGGGTCATGTGTTAGTGATGTCTGTCAACGGAGGCTGCCAACAAACCAGCGCTGCGGCTCACAGAGAAGCTGGTCACAGTCGGGTCACAGTCAACAAGCGTCTTTTCATGGCGTGAAGGCCGTGTCCTCGCTGCACTCTGAGGCTGCAAGTAAACACGAAGTTCAACTGTGTTTCAAACTTTACCATCGCCGTCTTTATGCTGTGATTAGTGGTCACCCAGCCGACTGTTTTATTAGAAGGGAATAATGCGATTTTTATCCATCTGATGTTGCTTTAAAAACTCTCAAAAACACGCTGATTGCTTCAAAATAAACCACTTCAGCAGCAGCAGCAGCAGCAGCAGCCGAGTTTGTAATTATGATTACATAACCGAAGAGTTGATGTGTTTTTTTTCTAACAGATCTTGTCATTATATCTGTATGTGCACATGGAAGGAGCAATTAAGAGCACATTGCATTCTCATCAAGCTAATTAAAGTTATTGCACCTTTCACACAGCAGGTGTTTGGACCTGCTGTAATGTAGTGATTAGAAGTCGTTACATAATTAGCAAAAATGAGCTGTTATGCTCGATTAAATCACAAAGTTCTGCTGTTTTCTAAAGTTAAAGAGACTCCAGCTCTCAAAGTTTCTTTATGATACTGATCATAACTTTCCTTTTGTGTTTATTAGAATTAACCCGGCGATGATATTAGTCCTTCGCATGAGAGTCTGCTCAAACATGTCATTACTGAGCTTCTCCTCCAGCTTGAAGTGATTCCCAGAGTTTTAAATGCAAATCCAGTCAACCACAACCGGGCCCACAGAACGTGAGAGTGATTTATTTTTTATACTCCACATCATCTTGATATAATTCATGCAATTACCCATACTGCATCACTCTGAAGCACAGTGTCTGGGGAGGCGAGGAATCCTGTTCCACATTAGTGGTGAGAGCTGGCGTGTTCGTCGGGTTTGGGAGGCTGTTGACGGAGTTGTGGAGCTGAAACCTCAGAGGTTACAGACGCTCGGGTAGTTAATACTGGTGATGGATTTAACAGGTTTCTTAAATATACTGAATAATTAAATGAAGTTTAAAAGACACAAATATAATCTATTACTTCCTCAAAGTATTCTATCTAAGAGGAGGGGCTTTTAGGTTGTTTTGAAGTCTCTTAAACTTTTGGGGTCTAAAAATAATCACTACAGGTTAGGGCTGCACCATTAATCAATTTCTTAATCGTAATCGATTATTTAATTATCACGATGTTCAAAAAATTAAAATCCTCAAATCGATTTTCCTCTCTATCATTTTTCGCGCCCCCAGGCCACCATAGGCTCCTCCCCCTTCCTGTAGGAGCACACCCCAGTTCCCCCACACACCAGTGTAAACAAACATGGCGTTTGCTAAAGGAGGCGATAATTTCGTGGTTAAATAGGACAAGAGCGAGTCAGTCATGTTGAATTGGTACAACTTCACAGTTTCAGATGAAGAGTAAACCACTCCCCGCTGTAAAGTCTGTCTGAAGGCGGTATCAACCCGTCACCACGGAAACGAATTCAGGAGGAAACGCTAAAGTTTTTTGTCGTATCGGCGTTTCAGGTGACTGTAAACGGTACTTTTTGAAAACGGGTCAGAGAGTAAATAAATCTGTAAACGACGACCATTTCATCTCCGTGTGGATGTCTATCTGCATCTCTGGAAACGATCATGTGACACACAGAGTAACTCTTTTATGGCGCCAAAACAACCTTTAAACACATGCTCTGTACTCTTCTTCTGTCTTTTGTGCATTTCCTGTGCAGAGTTACAGCGCCACTTACTGTCTTACTGTAACTTTTTATTTTTAAAGTGAAGTTTGGTGAAGTTGTCACTGAATAAAAAATCCAAATCGAAAAACAAGTTTTCAGAGAAAAAAATCTGGATTTCATTTTTGGTCAAAATCGTTCAGCCCTACTAAAGGCTCATGGGTAATATCAATAAAACTCATCTTTTAAAGGTGGACTATGTTTGCCTCATCAGCCCCAAACTGGCCCAGCAGTTCTGCACAGGTCCGGCTTTGACCTGGGTGTTTAAAAAACTGCATGTAAAGCCCCAGAAAATGACTTTGTCAGTGCTCCAGATTTAAACTTATTAATGATTTAAAGCTTCATGTTCAGGTTGTTACTGATGACTTCCATTAGTCAGAGTTCATTTTGCCGAATAGAGGAGTCGTGGCTCGTGGCTTTGAATGTCCGCATCATGAATAAAACGTAGACATGACTCACAGTCAGAGAGAAAAAATCCAACCACACCTCGTCTGTTCCTTTCATTCGCCTCATTTCTGCCTCCCTCCTCTTTCTCCCACCACGCTGTCAAAACAATCAACTTTTCACCTTCAATTAAGGTTCAGACTCTGGCGTCAGAAAAAGGACTCCTTTCGTCATGGACTCTCTTTCTCTTCCCTCTTATCTGTGGCTCTGACTGCTGCCTCTCTTTGTTGTACAGAGAAACTGGCGGCCCGGTTCTGTTCAGAACATCCTGATCTTTTTGGGTTTCCACAGCAGACTCTACTCTACTCTGGAGTGAGCTGCATGTCATCCTCAACCCCAATTTCCACCACATCCAGAACAGCTACGAAAAGGCTGTATCCTCCGATTGTAGCTGATCGTTTTCATTCAAGTTAACGTGTCAATTTCCACCGGTTTCTTTCCTCTGCGGATCAGAATGAAAATTGCTGTCGTACTGGATCGGAGCTGTTCTGGATGTGGTGGAAATTTTGGGTCAGAACAGCTCGATGTTTGACGTGCGGTTACCAAATTACACCTTCGATTTTTCTGCAAGATCTCAGGCCAAAAAAAATGATAAACTGAGTGTCACAAGCATGAAAAATAAAACACAACATGTCTTTCAAAATAAAAGCCCAATTCAGTTTTGTTTGGTTGTTTTAGTAGAGAGCCTCCCTTTGTTTTCACATCATGCTTTTATTTTGAAATTGTGTCCAGAACAGAAGAAACCTAAAATTAGGGGAGATATAAGTCACTGTGATCTCTTCTTCTTCTTCTCAGTCGATGCAGTTAAAGGTAACCCAGTAACTCAGGAGAGTTCAGGTCGGAACCTTCTCCAGGTTTTGAAGTTCTCCGACTCCTTCCTCGACCCTGACCTCCAGTAAGGGTCCAGACATTTAACATAAAACTTTACGTAACTGTGTTTCTTTAACCGCGTCGTTAAAACCCGCTTCAATCTTTGGAGCGACACCTCTGAGCATCTCCAGACCTCACCGTCGATTCTCCGTCCTCATTCTCATTCTCCTCTCACAGCTGTAAACATTCTGTTTGCTCAGGAAATGCTTTTCAGCAGTTTGTCTTATATTGCCTCGATTTTCCATTTTCAATCTGAGAAAAATACACAAAACTCCACCTCCCAGGTGCGCAGTAATCACGGATTATGCTCACTAAGCAACCAGTAAGTCACACATAAAGGATTTGGTCAACAACCCTAAAAAAGACGGCATAGCCTTCTGTATAATTGCATAAATCCTCTTATCACGGGCGTAATCTCATTTCCTTGTATCGATAAGATTTTTTGATGAGTGTGGAGCTTTTTTTGCATCACATCATCTCTTCGTCTCGGAGGAGGAGGAGGGAGCAGAGGAAATGTCTTAGCTTAAAAAAAAAAAGAAGTCATTGTCTTCAGAAAATTAATCCTCCGTTCTGTATTCTGGAGGAGCCTCCGCGGTTTCAAATTGCCACATTGCATTGCTCCGGCGCTTTTAAATTATCATACAGATAATGTGAGTCTGTGTGACAGTCTGTTGGTTTAGTTCACTTTAATGGAATGACATTAAAGTGCTTTTACACTTGGCTGAAGAGTGAATGCAAAGAGAAGAGGCATAGAGTGTCATCCTATAACATTAGACTGAGACGCTGCCGGGCGACAGGGCGGTTACTCAGGCAACAGAGCTCGCAGTCTGATCCAAGACATTACACACTCACACACACACATTTACACACAGGAAACTCTTGTCTCCCAAAAATGCAAATCAAATTTGCGAGGCAGAGGTAGAGAGTGAACACGGACACCGACCTTTGGCAGCCGGGGCTCTCGGTGTCCCTGCCGCCTAATCGATTAGTTTTGAGCTGCAGAGTCGGCAGATGTTCAGGCCTATAGGAGCGGTGACCAACTGAGACACTTTGTCCGTCTGTTATTCAGACTCACAGCCTGTCGCTCTCAATTCAGCTCCGAGTTCAACGAGCATCTTCCTGCCTTCTGTTGGTCTACTCCTTTCACGGCGTTGAGTCACCAAATCAAGTCTGGAGTGAAGTCTGAGTCACCAGAGGAGTAATTTGAGTCAGGTCGGCTTGGGTCCCCATTGCTTGGGTCTGAGTCATCACAAATATGATTTATTACAAACAGCATGGCACTTTCAGCCCGAAATATTGTCTGTGTGAACCTGGACTGAACAGATGACCTTGGTGTACCTCAGAGATCCGTCCTCGGGCCGTTGTTATTATCTTTATTTTACATAAATGATTTAAAGACTTTTTGAAAATAGTTTAAGTTTTAACAAGTTCACACCAGGACTGACTGCAGGATCTTGGTGTACCCCACCGATCAGTCTGCGGGCCATTATTATTTTGATTTATCTTAATTAGATATGTCATATTGTGTACAAACTATCTCTTATTTGTTGATGACACAAACTTTTTTTTATTCTCATAAAAACACAGATGAAGTAGTTCAAGTTTTAACAAGTTCACACCAGGACTGACTCCATGAATTTGGAGTACCCCATCGATCAGTCCGCGGGCCATTGTTATTGTTCATTCATAATACCGATTTACGTAACGTTTTGAAAAAACCTATACTGCAGCCCGTCACCAGAGGGTGCTGTTCTCACGTTGGCTTCACCCAGCGAGGAGGCAGACGGCGTCCGTTCTATATACAGTCTATGGTGACAACGGTTACGTGTAAATATTGTTAACTTTAAATCTTACTTTTTATATAAATACATGATTTATCTTGAAGTTCTATTATATCTTTACTCTTATGTACATGTATATTTGACCGTTCTTTTATTTTGCTCTCCTGTAAAATATGCAGCTGGAATTTTAATTTCTCTGAGGGAACTCCCAAAAGGATAAATGAAGTTGTACCTAATATAATCTAATAAGAGGCTCTGTGGGGAGGCAGCAAAAACTGTGAATGTGAACCATTTCACTTATTAAATATTTTGAGAAAAATGAATGAATGTGAATAGTTCACTTTTATCTGTTTGAACTGAACTTTGAGTTCGTTCATTTTTCGAGTGAACTTCAACAACTCTGGTTTATTTTTTTTGTGAGGCAGCAGTTCAGTATTTGAAGAGTTGAAACATTCCTGCTGTAGAAACTACTTACAATTGAGCAATTTTGATAGAAATTCCTACATCTGCTTCTCCCACAAAGACATAACCTTGATTCAACAAGGAGGAACAATAACGTTTCTCTCGTGATGAAAGGAAGTGGAGTTTATTGTTAACATGGGCGGACCAAAAGCTGGATTTTGTCTGCGGTAGGGAAATGTCGTTACGATCCTTCTTACAACCCTTTTTATCAACCTTCGCTTTGCCTTGCATCTTTAACACGATAGTTTTTTTGGGGGGGTAATGTTATCCAGGAGTGTTTGATATTTGTGGAGCTGAAGATAATCTTAAATTATCTTAAAAACACATTTGTACACAGCACCATTTGTCGTGTTTTACCTGGAACTGAACTTCTTGACAGAAAGATGGCGCTTCATCTTGTTGCATTTTTTGCCCCGGCAGCTTGAGAGCAGCACAACCTGCAGCCATGTGATAAAAGTGCGCCAGAAACAGAGCCGATCTGTACTTTGTCAAAGGCAGCTCCTTTGATCGCTCGGTGAAAAGTGACTCCAGATATCAAAGACTTTCAAAGAACACTTAGAGACCGACCATCTGATAGGCAGGAGTGTGGAAATTCACACTCGCTGGCTCTTGGAGTGACTGATGCTTGTTGCGTATCATCCCATCTGCACGGCTGATAGTGTAGCATAATGAGACGAGCGGAGACAAAGTGTCGAGCAGCTCTGCGCGGCTGTATCATCGCTCCAACTTTGAAGGGTATTTCTCCCATCCTCTTTCCTCCAGCTGGCGTCTCCCGCCCCCCTCTGGCACCATCTCAGCTGCTGGTAGTGATCCGGGGCTGCGGGGTTGTGGCCCCTGTCACTGGTTTCACATGCAGGCAGCAGATGAGCCAAGTACACACATGCATCTACAGAAAAACTCATACAAACACAGAAACGCATACACGTGTTCGCCATAAATAGACGCACATTTATACGCAGCATATGGCTCCTCTAACAGATGAAGCGCCCTGCAGAGTTTAATGTGCTGATATTTGTCTTGTGTTTGTGAGTGTGTGTGTGTGTTTGTCCTTGTGCTCAAACTTTTTGATTACATTTGCCTCTGGAAACATAAATCAGAGGGAAATCATCCTCGATTTGAAAGTTGTATGGAAGTCATATATGCCGGCTCCCTCTCTGCAGAAACCACGATCAGACATAAAGTGCAACATTCAGATTTGAGAGGAAAGGGTTTCTACTGATCTGTAATCCAGTTTGACTTTGAAGCGAAGAGTTACTGTACAGAAATATAGATGAGTGTGAACACAACTCCATCAGAATGACTGTCGACTCGTATTTTTAACAGTTCATGAAAAGGTTCAAACTGTCTCTCTGCAACACGATGACATTTAATTCAGTTTGAACTCGACGGGGGCGTTTAAACGGAGCGTTTTCATTCCAGTAAAGCCAACCTCTGATGTGAATGAACTGTATGTGTAAGATTATCACACAGACTCTTTTGTTAAACTCTTATATTTGACTGATAAAGAGCAGAAACAACATGATTGATGTTGGTTTGTAATGATAGTTTGCTGAGGCACCAAGAATCTTAACCTCAGAGGAGAAAGAAAATAAGAAAAAAACTGTTTTTAGGAGCAGGATCAGATTTCCTACATCACAAATCCAAGCTCCGCCCCCTGCTATACAGGCCGCAGTCAGAAAAGTAGAGAGGACGATTGGCGGAACAAGCGTGTGTGTTAGCGGATTGCTTTGCTCACAAGTAAGCTAATTATGACATTAACTTTCATCATGTCCCCAAAGACATTAGTGTTTGAGAGCTGAATGGCTCCTATGTTTCCTGCTTCTTCTACTATGCTAGTAATACTAGGCTGCAAGTTAGCGTGAAGAGGAGAGTGCGGAGCAGCGTTGTCTCCGCCCACGACTCAGAGACAAATTGCTAATGATCTACTGAAGCTCAGCAGAAGAAAAGCTGTTGAAAATGACACAGGTAACGCGATTTTTGGTAAAAACTTAATAATCACAATTTAAAGACCACTGAGAAAACTTCAAGTGGTAAAAAAACGATTGTAGTGGGACTCTAAATCACAGAACCAATCAGAGGGATGAAGAGGGCAAGAGTGATGGAGTAGGGTTGGTGGTCAGGTAGAGTTGGGTGTCATCGGTATAGCAACAGACACAGATGTTAGATTTGTAGAATATAAAGTCAAAAAGAAGAAGGTAGATGATAAACAGAGGAGGCCCCAGGACAGAACCCTGTGGAACACCAGAACTGAGTGGGATTTGAAGGTTTGGAGTTGAATGATCTCAGTCTTAGAGCGAGTCAGTGATTCAAGAAGAGGCGATAGATATTAGTGTTTCTGTAATTTGGTGTTTATTTTGTTGTCTGCACTCGTTTGTGTTTTTATTTGTTGATGTGTTCTCGTGTTTATTTTTGCTTGTACATCAAAACACTTTGTAAACTCTCTTTTTTATCAAGGTGCCAAACACATAAACCTGGAAAAGTCTCTGACAGGATGGATGATAGAGTTTAAAAAGTGAGCTCTCCACCTATTTTGGATCTACAGTGTGTATTTGTAAATGTGCTCGGTCATGCATACTGATGCGAAGTCATGCTTCGTGATGCGTGGACAATGAGGCCGCAGAGTCGGACAGTGATTGAAGGCGGGCGAGCAGAGCTGGCTGATCGGTGTGTGGAATCACATCCTCCTCTGGGTGAGCGTATTCAGGCCGTCTGTTATCGTAGAAAAAGAAACTCATATTTGAGGACAATGTTCCTCGCTGAAAGAAAAGAGCATGTGTTCTTTTCTTTGCTCTCATTTGCAGAAACTTAATCCCTCCTGGCTGTAACTTAAGGGAGCTTAAAAGAATCGTGTTTTTCTTCTTCTTCTTCTTCTTCTGCGGCTCTGTTATCCACCGTGGGTCACAGTGGCACTTCACACAATGAGACAGTTAAGGCAAAGGTGCAAAGCCGACATTTTCTTGAATAGACCAATTACAGCTCTATAATCTACATTCGTTTTAAATTGTAGCTTTGGCGGCCGGGCCATTTATCTGACAAGAGAAAAAGGTTTACAACTCCATTCATTATTCATACAACTTCTTCTTTTTTTAATCTCAAAGCTGGAAAAGAACATAAATCTTACAAACAGGGTTGATTTGATTTGCTGAAATTATCATTACTTATAGTATCTGTGGCTGTCTCGGGTCTGTCTGTCTCTGGACTAAACTTTCTCTGGCGCTCAGTAGAGTCTTTTGCAAACTGGAGCTTTTTCCACAACAGTTTAAGAATAGAGTATTTTATTGACCCTCTTACTACTTTCATGTCTATTTAGTAGACTGATATATTCAGGGTCTGGTAGCTTTAAAGACAGCAGGACAATACCACTCTTGAGGACATCATTTTCCATTTTTCTGCATCAAGTTTTTAGTTGTTGTTGAGACCAAATATTGTCTCCCAGGGCTGAGAATAAAATAAAGTAAACACAAAGATAGAAAATTCAGTAATTCCTTTCAGTGGCGTACTCAGGTTGTTTGAGGGACAGGGGTAAATGTAATGATAAGGGGCACCTCCTGCATGCCATCGGCCACCAGCTAACAAAAAGGTGTGATTAATAAAGATTTGTGTCTGACAGTATTTTAAAGACTCATAACAGGAGCTGCTGTAGAGGAAATTTAATTACATTAAAGGAAAAATACAAAATTCTCACGACATGATTAAGTTGCATTTTTTAAAACCATGGAATAGTTTAAATCAGTAATTTAAATGAAATGATAAACTTATTTTTATCACTGAGAGTTGATATAAAAGACGTAACGGAGAATCAAACTTAACTATAAGACCTTGTTAGCCAAACATACAGCAGGGTTAATTAGATTTTATCCAGTGGTTTGGTATCCAGAGGACACGTTTTACATCTTATCCAAGAGGCGATTCTGACAGATTATATTCTGGAAGAGTATCTAAAGAAAACTTTTTTCATATTTTATGTACGAAGAGGACATTTCAAAAGCACTTTTATATAATTTGAATACAGAAAAATCACCCAAAGGGAAGTGTTTTAAGTTGCATAATGCTAGGAAGGCATCTTGAGGGCAATTTTAACTTTTTATCTTTTGAAAGAGCAAATGAAGGACACTGTTTAAAAACTCATGTACTAAAAGAGCATCTAAAGGATGTTTTTACTATATTTTAAATAATGAAAGAGCTTCTAAAAAGCACTTTAATGTCTTGAATACGACAACAGTACCCAGAGGACACTCTGTCATGTTGCATTCCTTTATAAGAACACCTACTTAAGTAAATTTTCATGCATTGTTACGCATTTCTATTTCAGTCTTTCACATAGAACCATAATTTTACATCAAAGCTGTTTAATATACTGTTTGCAACTCTGGTCTCATTGCAGGATGTGTGATGCTCTATCCATTACCTTAAATTCCCCACACATAGGTTTTGCCTCAGCTGTTTACGAGAGGTCTTGGTTATCTTGAGTTGCAAAAATACATCAAATTCATCCTCTGGAGGATCTGCAGCCTCTCAGTTTCTTCCCTCATTATCCTTGCAGTGATCTGAGCGAGTGGAGTTTCTCTAATAATGGGCGCTGGGCTGATTTACCGTCTGAGTTGTGTAAGTGAAGGGCTCGCTGTGTCTGTAAGCAACGTCCTGCAGAGTACACACTGACTGTACTATCAGATCTTTGTCAAAGGAAGAGAAGGACGCGCTGATGTTCTGACAAAAAGGAGATTGGAGAGCTTATTGTCAGGAACACAGAGAAGGCCGCCTGAACTGACTGAACTCGCCTCTTTCTTTTGTTCGTCTTCAAACAGCGATTCTCTGCAGAGCGTCTTAAAGACCCGTGCTGCTTTTATCCACGCTGAATTAATGAAGTGATGAAGTAGCTGCTTTCTATAATGTCAAAAGGTTCTGGACTTCAGTGGGTCTTCTTCTCCAGTCCTGTTCGAGATCTCGTTGCTCTTTTTGTCACAGAAAAGTACACCAGTTGTATTATGCAACGATGTGCTGAACTCTTCGCTCCCACCAGTGAATTCACATGGTAATGACTCATGACATTTAGTGGAAATAATGATCCACTTGTTTGAATATGATAATAATGTGATATATTACAAAGGGCTGTTGGGTTATGTAATGCAGCCTCTGGCAGCCATGTTGAAGGTCTTTCAGTTCAGCAGCAACAGAGATGCATCGCTGCAAAACTCCCTCATCACATCTTTGACTTTATTTATTCTGTCTCCTGACAATTTTCCAGACATTTCGATCCTGACAGTTTTTGGGACATTATCTTTGTCAGACACACTCTCACAGCTTGAAAACCTGTGAGTCTGCACAGAGTGTACAACAGTGAGGCCGAGGAGCTTTTTAAAACGGTAACTTACTGTAAATTTCACAACAGCATCGTTAATAGTGCTGGGAGAAGAAATCGATACAGTATAGTATCACGATATTGAAAAATAAAATCAACTGTCCAGTGAGGTTGGCAGAGGCGACATCGAAGAGCAGGAGAAAGTTCGTACAACAAATATATATGTAAGGTTTGCAAGATGTACTACATGAAAATAAAATACAGAGTAAAGAAGACAAACATAAAGGAAAGACAAATGATAAATTAGCTAAACAGTTGAAAAAAATGTATAAATATATTCTCAATATATTGCATCGCAATACTCACTGTGTTGCTAAATTGTTAAAAATCACAATATTCAATCGTGGCCCAAGTATGGTGATAATATCTTATCGTTGGCCCACTAGTGATTCCAACCGCTAATCATTAGTGACATTTTTGCAGCCTCAGTGGTTGGTTTCTACCTTTTATTTGCTTTTTACAACTTGACAGAAATCTACCCACAACTTATTTTACAGAAAAAATAATAATTAAAAAAGCAGATATAGATATATTGTTTGAAGTAAGCATGCAGTCATAGTGTGGTTCAGGAGAGGCGTCTTTACGCTCTAAAACAAAGGGAAGAATTATGAAGAAGCAGGAACAGCTGCTAGCAGACTCGCTGTAACAGCCCTTCAAAAGACGGTCAGACACCTTAAAGACTAATCTGAGCCTCTTCAGGGTCACTTATGACTTTTAAGTCCAGGTGACCAGATCAGCTGTTTGTTTTCACACAGGCACCCCAACCTGACAATGTCTGGGAATTGTCAGTTCAGTAGTTTCAGGGTCACTGATGACGAGAACATTTATTCTTTCTAAACCGTCGACCTTTAGCTGTTTATATTCAGTGACTAACAATCTATGGAAGTAGAGTTCCTTTCAAAATAAAGTACATTTTTACAGTATTAGAAACTGGATTTAATAAAGATTCTTACTCACCAAAATACTGTATTAAAACTCTGCACTGACCTAAATAGAATATAAAAATAAACCATTTAGATAGTTAAGAAACGGTTTAATATCTGCTGAAATTACTTCACGGTAAACTCAATATTCCTGTTAGTGACTCTTTATGTAGTTACACAAATAAAGAAGCGGTCCCTCTCTCTCTCTTTCTCTCTCTCTTTCTCTCTCTTTTTTACTCTTTTGCTCTCTCTCTGCTTTTGTCCCCGCTCCACTTCCTTGCCCCCCGGGGTCATTGTTGTACAGCTTCTACAGCTTCATGGTCAGTGCATGTGATGGGTCAGCAGACAAAAAGCTGCAGAGATACTGAGTTTTTATGCTCGCCAATTAAAACTCAAGGTTTGTAACAGTAGGTTAAGTTCACGCACACACACATAAAATCCCCAACTGCCATTGCGCTGGAAACGATCTGTTTATTGAAGCAATTTCCTCGTGTGTAACTCTTTAAAAAGATATCATCAACTATATTCAGGTCAAGTAGACTCTATTTTCATTCACTTAGCCAAAAAATACAAATCATATTTGCCCTAAAAGGCTGTACACTCACTACAGCATACAAATCTCTCCATCCTTGGACCTCTCTGCCCCCTCAGTAATGCGCTTTTACAGTATCTTCATTTTAATGAGAGACTCTCACCAAATGCTTGATTTTCTCTGCTAAAATGCCGTTTGACTCAAACAAATGTTTGCAAATTTAAGAGGAGTCGATGGTGAACTAAAAATAGAGCAAAAGCAAGAAATCAATTTTCTGACAGAACAGTTTAATTCTATTAAAAAGCATGTGCACGTTCCTCATTTTTCTGCATTATGTAGCAAAAAAGTTGTGAGTGGGGCATGAAGACCTTTTTTATGGCATCACTTCTCTCTTCAGAGCGCTCTGTAAATAACTGGAAACCCTGAAGTTTCTGGAGTTGTCCCATTCGTGTCTGGTGTGGAGTTTCAGCTGACTAAAGGTCCTTACACACCAGGCGAGAATTCGCCAGGCGAATTGTTCGCCTTTTTTTAAAACAGCATAAAGTCAATGCAAGCTTCCACACCGGCGGCGATTTTTCCGCGGGGCGAAAAGCCGCTTTTATTTTTTCGCTCCTGTGTCGAATTTTTCGGATATTCGCAGGCGAATATCTGGACCAGCTAGACCTCTGGCCAATCAAAAGTCATGTTGTTGATGACGTCACAGACCCATACGGCTGGAGGAGAGGGAGAAGTTTGAGATTATGAATACGCAGAGAAAGGCAGCTGAGGTGCATCCAAAACTCTTTCTAATTACTAATGAAGTAGTTTCCTCACAAGATGACACTCTCTTGTCTTCTACCCCGCATCTCCTCTCCTCCGTGCCGCAAAGCGACTTTATTAATTTGCTTTGCAAAAAATATACGCATATTCGCTTCACGGCCGGTGTGTATAGGCGAAAGCGATTTTTCGGACCGGTGAATATTCGCAATTTTCGTCTCGCTTTTTCGCTTCGCTCCGCAAATTCGCCGGTGTGTAAGGACCTTGAGAGTTCAGGTTTTTTCTGTCATATTATTCAAATGTTTTAAACGTGTGTGAAGTCTGCAGGTGGACCAGTTTAGCAGAAGGACTCGTCTGTTGAAATATGTGCAGAATCGTCTCGCTCACAATACCTGAAAAGTCGTTGCTTTAACAGCAGCATATGTTGCTCCAAAACCTGCATAAATGGTACCATCCCAGTTGGCACTAATGCATGCTGCCTGATGAAGTAGGTGCTGATAAAAGGCCGGGTTGTTCCTCCATTTTCACGGTGTCCATGACCTCCGAGAAGAATCTCACGTTTCATTTAATTGGACCACAGGACGGTTTTTAAGTCGATCTTGAATGAGTTCAAACACATAGACTGTATGCAGAATGGACGTCATCTGTCTCCTCGTTTGATGAATCCGCTTTGAGAACAGCACCCTCTGGTAACAGGCTGCAGTATAGGTCATAAATCCCGCCTCTTCCAGCAATCCCTATGGAGCTGTGGACAAACTTTATAAATTAATGACACAGAATATAAATGTTTCTCCCCCCTGGTTGTGATGTTGACATGTAGTTACTGTCAGACTGGTTTGTGCTCAAGTCCTCTTTTTTTCTGTGCAGCTCCATTTTTAAAAGTTATTAGAGGGTTCATATTTTCTATGATTGACACTTGATACAGCCTATGGGCGTATGAAGATTGCGTAGCTCACCAGGGGATACGCTGTTTTAGCCGAGCGTCATCACAGCGACACCTCCAGCGAATGCATGTAATGGCACTAGGGCTGCAGCTATCGATTATTTTAGTAATCGAGTACTCTATCGATTAATCTGTCGATTAATCGAGTAATCGGATAAGAAATGTTTTGCTCTCACTGTAATACTTTGCATTGAATCACGTTTGCCTCATTAAAAACCATCAGTAACACACAAAACTGAAATAGGCCAGGTCTTTCAAATGAATATTTTTACTGCATAAATCAGGAACCAAAAGTTTTACATTTTACCATGTAGTTCACATGAAACTACTGAAGGCAAGGTCTGCAGATGGTCTTTTAATTGCTATGGTAATGATCTTTGCAGTTTTCACTAAACCAGTCACAACTATTTCCAGGCTTTGGATCTAATTTTACTTGTTTAATTAATAGGCTGAAATAATATAATTCTTGGATACTAACATAATTTGACAAGCAAATGTACATTTATTCAATATATAAAAGTGTTACATTTTTATTTACATGTTGTTGTGTGTTGGTCATTTTGCAGCCCTCTGCTGCTCATCACACGCCTAGCAGGTGGTGTATAGCATTATCACCATGGATACACGGATGTTTGTGTGATTTTTTTCATCCACTGCCGCCCGGTTTGTGTCGTGTAGATGTTGATTATGAAAACACTTCGCAATAATTTGGAAACGTGAAGGGGGAGCTGCTGCTGCCCGGTGTTTACGGTAAATAGACGCAAACACCGACCAAGTGGACGCTTCGGTCTCCGAAAACGCCGAGACAAATTTACAAACAGCCACTATTTCAAACAACTGGGCTCATAATCGTGATGTAAACACTTACTTTCTCGCTAGAAAAAATATTATTATTGAATGAATTTATATAATTTGTCCGGTATGCAGTCGTTCTATGTAGCTTGTGGTAGGACTATTTAAATTTTCCCGGCGCTGCGTCCGGCCGGCACGAAATGCATTCTGGGGTATTTAGTATGTATGTGTGTAAAGGCTCGGGCAGCCGCGGCATACTCAAATCATCTTTGAGTAGTCAGTAGGCAGTAGCTACTGCTTGAGTAGGTAAGTAGATAGCAGGCAGTATGCCATTTCGGACACAGCTTCTGTCTGTCCTCGTTTCCCTCCATGATTGAACCAAACGCGCGGCAGCGGAAGGAGCGGAAAGAGCACGCTTCTGCGCAACAGAAATAACCGTCCGTGTCAAACACCGTGCGCTGCACATGGTTCCGGATTTAAACGATTCCTCGAGGCATATAATTTGCCTCGAGGAATTTTATTAATCGAGTTACTCGAGTTACTCGAGTAATCGTTTCAGCCCTAAATGGCACTTCGCAAGTGGTGGTTCCAGGAAGTGGAGAAAATCCCAGAAATACCGAGAACAAATTGGCTTCATATTTGTACAATGATGGAAGGCGGAACCACGTTGTCTATAGTACATACAGTCTATGATCCAAACCCCAAGAAGACACCAGAGTTCTGGTTGATGCTTGTGTGTGGGTTTCTTATTTACAGTTTGAAACTGGATGAGCTGCGTTCACAGAAAGTGTATTTTGGATGAATTTTGAGCCCATGCGGTGATTCCCACTACAGAGTCATGTCTGTTTTTTGTGCACTGCTGCCTAAATGTTCTAAAATCACAGCTGTCCAGAGTTGGATTCAGCTTTGATCAGAGATTTCTGCATCTTTTAATGATATTATCTACTGTTGAAAGGAATGTTTTTCAGAATATGTCGAACTTTTTGCTCAGACAGTCTCTGACAAACGATGAACATTTTGCAAACTTTACTTCTAAGAGACTCAGCCTCTCTATCTTACCCTTTCTACACCCAGTCATGCCACCATATAAAGAGGATATCATATTCTAAGGTACATTAGATATGTCAGTGTTCAGAGGCTTTAATCCTCATAGTAGCAGCCATGACCCTTCGCTGCAGGTCATCCCCTACTCTCCACACACCGGATGTCCTTTCTAATATTAGCCAAAAATCCCCAAATCTGAGTGAAAGAGCAGGCCTCAGACTGAGCTGTAAACATATTGAGTCATGAATCTGTAAAATACTTGCAGATGAGCCGTTATCTGATGCCACAGCGGGGCAGCAGCTGTCAGAGGCCGCCTGTTAACTCAATTATTTTAGCTTACGCTGAGTAAAACCATTAGCTGAATGTTTAGAGTGTAAATGTATGACATCTGAGGGCCGTATGGATTTCTGATGTGCTCCTCGCTTACCGCGCCGCACGACACTGGAGTTATTTCACCCAGCCAGGGTTCAAACCGAAGCAGACGACAACATTCAAACGACCAAAAGTTCTGCTTTCTATGACTCTTTTTCCAAGTGCGGGTCAAGCAGCACTTAATCGGGAGATTATACGAGCACCAAAGTTTGCAGCCTGTGGTGCAGGTTCCCATTAGCATGACTGACAGCAGTGGGAAATCTGCTGCAATAACGGCAGCCTCTCCTGCTCTCTGCAGATGTACAGTAATTAGCTCATCCGCCCGTAATAGCTTAACGATTACTGGCATGTCGCCATTTGTTATGCAGGAGATTTGCTTTGTTGACTCATTTGGGAGGAAAGCGATATGAGTTTTTGATGCAATTACTCATCATTAAGGATTTGGTTGTTGCCGTTGTTGACTCTTATGAAGGTTCGCCCTGGAGGAGGATGAGGCCGGAAATTGTTTTTTCTTTTGTTTTTTTTCAGGATGAGAATAATCAGAGCGGAGGTGAAACGAAGAGAGGAGGGCTTTAGATTGTCTTCGCTGTTGTTTGACAGGTCGGCGAGGTTAATGACTGAGAGCTTTATCTAAACTATTTAAAGTGAGGCAGAGAGAATCGGCATGTCGGACCACGTTGACCTGTTTAAGTGACGCACAGTCTGGGCGATAGGTGAGACACGGGACAAAGAGGCGGGTCGTTCTGTTTCCCGCCATTTTTACCTGCACACCTGTCTCCCCTTTAGCAACTGGTCTTACCTGTACATAAGGCTGCACGATACTGGAAAAAACGAACCATTTTTTTCAACCCTGCGATACTTATTATGATATTAAAAAATACAGGAATTTTCACATAGCACTTTATGCTTCACTGCTGAGATCTTGAGGACAGTTAACCTGCACTGATCTTCCCTCTTTTTGTGAATGTTAGTAGAATGTCTTCTGTCGGTCTTAGAGATATTTTTA